ACATAAATTTATTAAAAGATTGAAAATAAGTGGAGTCAATATTTTCATAGCCCAGTACCAAGCTTTTCGTATTGTTAAAAAACATACCCAAATACCATTTGCTGCCTCCAAACAACACAGCTGTAACAACCCTACTACTAACTTCGAAGGCCGCGGCCTGAGCCCAGTACCAAGCTTTTCGTATTGTTAAAAAAATACCCAAATACCATGGCTGCCTCCAAACAACACAGCTGTAACAACCCTACTACTAACTTCGAAGGCCGCGGCCTGGGAGTTAGAGGTGGTCGTGTAGGATCTGAAGACTGCGTGTAGTAGTATCCGAAGTCAATTTTATAAAAAAAAATCACAACCACGTATTACATAATTATGAATGTATTAATCATACGATATAAAACTGTAATATAACGGAGAAATAACGTATAGTAACTAAAACCCGAAACAGATTTATTGTAATAAGTTGCATGATTGAAGAAATACTGAAATAACTTACTCTTTTGTTTGCTATAAATATAGTTATCGACACTGTATATAGTGTTTCTATCAAACGTTTTCCTTTATTTGGTACCCTCTTCACTTAACTATATAAGTGTCAGAGCAGACGACAGAATGACAGGCAATGATGTAAAACCATGACAAGGAAGGAATCAACAAAACCCAAAACAAAACATTGGAATTGGATGATTGCCAATGCCAAAATAAACTGTTTTAAAGAATAACCATAAACTAGTTTTATGGTATTTGCTAGTTTATAACCAAACGGTACGTTGAAACTTTTGTGAAACAGTGACAATATCGTGTTTTATAATAAACATTTCTGTAATTCTGTGACTTACTTACGAACTGTTATGAGTAGGCTATCCTACATTAACCTAAAATTTACAATGCCGCTTCTATCTATTAACACTTTTGGAGTAAGTAATAATATTTATATACATAGTTGTTATTTGAACTGAGAGAAAGGGCATGGCAGAGATATTAATAGTTTGATTTTATGGATTGAAGAAGAAATTATAATTAAGCCCATAGATTTTCAAATGGTAGGTTTGTTAAAGGCCAAACCAGAGTATTTTAAGTTAAGTTATAGTAAGATATACCCATCATCAATCTTTGTAGTATGTTAATAAAAAACAACCACTGTAAGTTACCTACTTCTATTAAACATACCCTACATTCTTGGTGTTCCGGTGATAGCTGCAAGACGGGGCAATGTGGCTCTCAACTAAAAAACCAAGAATATGAACTTAGGGATGACACCAGCCGCTGAAGCCTATAAATTGATATTTAATCAACTATGTCTTCATATAAATTATCTGTAACTTAAGCTACTACCATTGAGGCCTAGGCCACATCTGTTTGCATTTAACTTAGGCTACCTTAAGTTATTGTAAAGCACTGGCTGATGCATATGATTTTTCTATTTACAATAGAGTCCAGCCTGCATTTTATGCAATTTCATCTGCATTTTTATTTGCAAATTATGAATAAAGTTGATTTCATTTCATTTCATTTACCATTCCAAGCAATCGTCTCTATTGGATAAACTAACTTTCATCATCTGACCACATAGGCTTAGATTTAAAAGTCTAGCATACCATATGTGTTTTTTTTTAACTTACTAAGCCTAATACTCATCTACAACTTTATATTCTAGCCTATCTATAAGTAAGTAGGCTGCTTCAGTGGAACCTCAATAAGAACAGCCTCGATAACAAGTGGTCTTTAATAACAAGTGTCATTTTGGCTGCACTTTACTTGACGTCCTACACTCATTCGATTGTTTTTTCGATTCGATATTTTCATTCTATTGTTTCATTCGATATATCGTTTGGTTAGTTAGGTTAGGTTAACCTTACCTAACTAACCAAACGATATATCAAATGAAGCAATCGATTAATCGATATATCGATCGATATTTTCATTCGAATGAGTGTAGGACGTCAAGTAAAGTGCAGCCGTCATTTTCAAATAGGCCTACCTACCTTAGATTTTATAGTACCCATAAGTTATCAAATCAATTCAAATCAAAATATACTTTATTTCCAAAAATATTGAACAGAATAAAATATAAACATAAACTTCCAGTGAAACAGACACCTTACTTGCTATTGCATAGATAAAATAAATAATTATAAAAATACATGTAAACTTAATTACAGTGTTATTGCAAACATCTATTAGAAGTCTACCTTGTCCTTGATAACAAGTCTTGTGATCATTCCCATAAGAGAATTGTTATCAAGGTTCTACTGTAGTTTTTTAACAGTCCATTATTTGAATGGATTCAACATTTTTCTCAACATTCAATCCAAATAAAAAAAATGGTAGCCTATATTTAAAGATTTATGTCGCAGAAGTGGCCAAATAAAACCATTCAAGCTATAAACAAATAAGGTCTTATCAAGACACTTAGTGTAACATCAAGGTAAACCAGAGATTGATATAATATTTTCCTGGAACTCTTTACTAACCAAAGTTAATGTCACACCAAAATTGAAGTGAAGTTTTCAAAATTAATACTACTGTAATGAGGTGCAGTGTAAAAGTTATTATTTTTGACAATGAAACCCTTTGAAACTAGTCTTTGAAAGGTTCAAAGTAGCGATCTAAATGAAGGGCAATAATGCTTTTACGTTGACTCAGCTTAAGAGCAGTGGCTTGTTAAATTTTCCTTTTGAGAACTTTGTCATAATTTTTCATGATGTTTTGTTCTATTTAGGCCTATGAAAGTATATTTCCATGAATAAAAAAAGTCACAAAAGAAAATGATTATTTTGTCTAGTAGGCTAAAAGAACACAATTGAAGTTTAGTTTTACCATAAAAGTATTTTTTGTAAACATTTATATAAAAAGATTTTGTTTGATTTTCTATTCTATAAGTTACTTAAGTTTGTTTCTTATTTATTCCTTATTTATTAACGTTGTACCTTTTAAGATAAGAACATTTTTGTCTAGTCTCAAATCACGTTAAAAACAAAGCTAGGTTAATTTACATTGATTTCGTCTAGTGATACTGTACCCATCCCACCCCCAAGGGTGGATAAAGATAGTTTCGGTGACTACGGTTTGTCGCCTTCTTTGGATCCTCGTGAAGAATATCTATCTCTGGGACCATGGTAGCTACATGTTTCTCCTCCTGGCTCTCGCCACTACATTTTAATCAGTACAGTTCACTCCTGTACTGTACTGGCTCATCTCTTGTTTTGCTGGATATGTTACGCCCAGGCATAGGTCCTATGTAGACGAGCAAATGCAAGTTTAAAAGAAGCCTCCAACCTCTATAATAAAAGAAAAAAATGTACGGTACCTATATTAATTATAAACAATTAAATTTCTGATGTAAAACAAGTGAAAATCTACAACCTACAACTTTCTTTATTTTAAAATCTAAGTAATAAGTTACTTGTTTGGCTTATATGTGTTTTATAAATTTGTCATACACCTCCTCAGCACCACAAATAAATAGTCCTAAACTCATTTAATTACGTACTCCATCGGCGCAGTTGTATTTCAGTGCTCATCTTCAGGCTTAACTTCTGTCCCAACTCCATTCTTTATAAAAACTCTCTCTGCATAAGCTAGTAACTCTTTGTTCCCTAAATAATTGGCCAAGTAAGCCTACATGTGCAATTAAATACAGACTAAAGTAAAGAAATGTAAATACACTTTCAAATGTATAATTATAAAACAAATTTGTTTTGTATCTTTCACAATTGTTTTGTGGGATAAAAAAAGCTTTGGAATTTGTTAAGAAAGCATTTGTGTTAATTCCCCTGAGTATGCATAGTTGTCACAATTTTTAGATAGGTTGTTTAGTGGTTATAGCACAGAGCTCTGTCTTAGCGACTCAAGTTTAACGTAGTAGTATCAATGGGAACTTTTGCTATTGCATAATGCTGTGACTCGGTGGTTTGACCTCTACCTGTAAACGACAAAAGGTAGGAACGGCCAACTGTCACTGCGTTAGAGATGATCCCCCACAAAAATCTATAATCCTAAAAAAAAAAAAAAAAAATCTATTTCTTTCCAAAACTATTTTGTAGGGATTAAAAAACAAATAATTTAGTATGTTGAAGCAATGTTAAATGGGCTTGATGATTACCGTAACTAAGGGAAAAATTTAAGAAAAAAAAACTGTAAATTTAATGGAGAATAAGTACACTGTTGTAGTTTGCTTGGTAACTTTACACCATACGATACGGGGACTGTCTTGAACAGTTTGGAGTCGAAAGCATAGATGATGTAATTACTTCATCTATCTCGAAAGTATGCTTTGGTTAAGCTGTTATTTTAACTGCACAGTACTAATAAAAATATTGTACAAGAAACCAGTTATTGTCACCTTTTTATAAATAGAGTTACTGAGGTGTGTTCTACATGTCTAAAAACTACAAGATCATAGACAATGAGGAGGGTATTTTTAGACCAGGAGAATGACCTCCACAAACTGGAAGTGGGAAGATATAGATTGAAGGGGGGAGTAGGGAGGAGTGAGGGTGAAAGGGGTTTGGTTTTGATTGGAACTTTGCTGATGTCCTCCATTGTTAAAAATATAGTCCAAAAAATTTTTTGAATAAATGTTGATACTGTACTGTACTCGTTTATACCAAATTTGATAAAAATCAGATAATTTTTTGCTCTAGTCATTGTGCCAACGTTCACATATATATATATATCAAATATATGTATAGGCCTGTGGATTTTAACGGATGGTGTTTATGGCCTCTGGGAACCTCAAAACTAAAAAGTAATTCAGTCCCATTTCTTACCACAAGACCTATGGTAATAGCTTATTCATTGTATGAGAAATTCGCTAAAACATCAGTGAAATGCCCTTTTCTCAATTACGTTGGTTGTGGAAATAAAAAAATCAAACAAACAAAAACAATGTCGTGTTAAAATGTATGTCGAGCCGTTACATTGATTATGAAAAATATTTCATAAGCTGCAAACTTATGTTTAGCTAGGCCTACTGTGTTTAACTGATGTTCTATTTATTTCAGGAAAATGCCTGTATGACAGTTTATAACAAACTTTCTGCACAGCACTCCTTGTCAGGTGAGTAGCTCATTTGTTGGATAAGTAAAATTTTCTGAAGACTGGAAACAATCCTGGCCCAGTCTTTTACCCCGGAATATACTTGGCATATGTGATATTTAGCATGGTCACATATGGTTATTATTAACTTCTTTTGCTGAAAACATTCAAACTTTTGTTAATTTATTTCTTCAATTTCACTTACAGAAACTTAGAAATGAATTGGTATTCGAGTTTTAGTGCTTTAAAAAGTTGGATTTTATAAATCTTATGAGAGTTTAAAAAATGTATTAAGTCGTACCACCAATACCCTTCTAAACCCAACAAAATTAGGAGTAAAACTATAAGTAAACTCAAGTCCTGTATCCAATTAAATATTTACCTTTTCAACTGTAACTCCTTTTTGAGAAGGGAGACTTCATTCATGCCAGTCCATGTGAGAAGTTTTTAGCAATATTTTACAAACAAAAATACTAGGACGATTGTAGTTGTATTAGGGTATTATTAAACAGCTGTTCTTGAAACAAGAGTTGTCCCTATAAGTAGGTTAAGGCCAGGCGCACACAGGCAACTTTGAGTCTAGCAACAGTTGGTCGACCAAAACGTTAAGCATTGTTTTACATTGGAGTGTGAAAACCAAGGAAAAAGTGGAGGGACAGCCTCACAACAGTTGCAACTGTTGTTCCTGGACCCCATTTGACAAAGACAGCTCCGCAACTCAATTGTTGTGGGACTGTCGCTTCAGGTTAGGTAGCCATTGAAACAAGTCTAGACGCGCACTTAATTCACTTGATTAATTGTTGTGTGAAGTTTGTTTGGAAAAAGTAAATTTTTTAGTATGAGTTTGCGTGATGAGGACTTTGAACGATTAATTGATGAAGTTGAGAAGAGGCAGTCTTTATATTTAAAGGCATTAAGACTATTTTCTGATATTAATTTGAAGAAGAAGTTGCGGGAGGAGGCATGCTTGGCAGTTACGAAAGATTAGAAAAATCCAACACGAGAGGATAAAAATCAATCAGAGCACATACAATTGCTGTATCATTGAAATCTATACTGTAATGTCCGACTTCCGTCTCAACAGTTGCCTGTGTGTGCACTCCTGCTCAACTGTCGCTAGAATTCAGAGGCTCCGAGTGAGTTGCGCAACAGTCCCCCTGTTGCTAGATACAAAGTCGCCAGTGCGCCTGACCGAAAGTAATTAAATGAAGAAAATTGAATTTTTTTTGTCTTGTCAAATGGATAAGGAGAGTTCAAAAATATTAAAAATACTACTCTTGGTAGGCCTATTCAAATATAGGCCCTATACCGTGTTTCAAAATATGAAAAATATAACCATGTTTTAAATGAACATTCTTATTATAAGTCATAAGTATTTTATTGCATAAAACATTCTTCATTACAAAGGTAATGGTGAACAGATGCATGGTCAATCAATAAGTTATAAAAACTAAAAGTAAAAAGTTACAACAAAATACAACAAGAACAGCACAATAGACGAGAGAAAGTTACCAATTCAAACAAGTTAGAAAAAAGACAAATTTAAATGAAGATCTTGAAGCAATATCAGAGAAAAAACAATTAAAAACATTCTGTGTCATATTTTATATAATCTAATGGTCAATTAATGTCACGGTCATTTAGGAAATCTGCCAGGAAGTAATATGATTTCTCCACTAATAATGATTTAGTCCAAATTTTAAATTTTTGTGGTGTATAGGATTTTATTTTTGAGGGGATCTTATTATATAGACAAATCCCCAAATAGATGGGGTTTTTTTTCAAAATGAGAGTGTTTATGAATTGGATAATTTAGCAGATTTGGGTTTCGGGTATTATAACTATGAGTGGGTCTAAATTCATCAAAAAGTGTATTATTTAAATGAACAAAATTTACTGTTTCATAGATGTGCAAAGAAGTCAATGGCATTATTTTTAATTCCTTAAAAGAACGACGACAGCTTGATCCATATTCTGCCCCTATCATCACTCTAATAATACTTTTTTGGACTTTAAAAACTTTGCTAATATCCCCTGAGTTTCCCCACAGAACAATTCCATAACTAAGCAGAGAGTGTATATAAGCATAATAAATCATTTTTAATGTTGCTAGTGACACTGAATTTTGAATACATTTAATTGCAAACCTAAAAGAAGTCAACTTACTAACCAAATATTGAATGTGTGATTTCCAATTGAAACTTTGATCTATATTAATCCCAAGAAATTTATATTTATCAGTGATTTTAAAATCCGTTCCATTGAGTTTGTGGTTATTGTTAATTCTGATGTGGAATTGCATAATGTTAGATTTATATTTATTTAGTAAAAGTCCATTTGATTCAAACCATTTCTTCAGATCTTTTAGTGTTAGTTTCAAAGTGTTTTCTAATGCAGACAGGTTTTTTTCCTGAACTATTACACTTGTATCATCAGCAAATAGTACGAACCTTTTGGAAATATGTGCTGGTAGGTCATTTATATATATAAGAAAGAGTGTGGGTCCTAAAATGGATCCTTGAGGGACGCCAATTTTTACTGTAGCCCAGTCCGAGTAAAAACGGGTTGCCCTCTCACTGATAACTGTTCTCTGCTTTCTCCCCAATAGATATGATGTTAATAGCTTAAGAGCCGACTCCTCAATACCAATACTGGCCATTTTTTTAATCAGCATCTCATGATCCACACAGTCAAAAGCCCTGGACAGGTCACAGAAAATCCCCGCGGTAAACTGTGACCCATCCAAGGCTCTCGCTGCATCGCTCACAAAGTTTATCAAAGCTAATTCAGTACTTCTATTTTTCCTAAACCCAAACTGTTCAGCCCCAAGCAGATTATTACTTTCATGAAAATAAACAATTCTATTATGAAGAGCTTTTTCAAAAATCTTTGATATATTATCATTTTTTATTCCTTTTTTAAAAATTGGTTTTATCTCTGACAGCTTCAGCTTAGTCGGAAAGGTACAAGTTCTAATAGCTAGATTAAAAATATAAGTTAAAATATGGCTTATCACTTGAACAGACAATTTTAATAAATTAACTGGAATGTCATCCCATCCACAAGATTTTGTGTTATTTAGACCTAAAATAATTTTAGCTACCTCTTCCACTGACACAGGTGAAAATTCACTTAAATATTTTGTCTTACATGAAGGGCTGTCTTTGACAAAAGATAAATCAGCTTTAGGGACTTTTAATAAGTCAACAGTGTTAATAAAATGATTGTTAAAACTTTGAGTGATTTTTTGAGGATTTGAAATTATCTTATTGTTTATTTTTAAGGTAATATGTTCACTAATTTTATTACAATGAATACCCATTTCTCTTTTAACAACAGCCCATGTAGCTCTTGATTTGTTTTTGGACTCAAAAATGTAATTATCATTAGATGCTATTTTTGCTGCTTTTACAACTGACTTAAACACTTTTTTATAATTTTTTACATATTGCTGAAATTCTATACTTAGGTTATACTTTGCTTGCCAGTGTAATTGCCTCTTCTTTGCTGCTGATATCTTAATACCCTGTTTTGATTTCTTATTTTTAACCTTAATATTTTTAATAGGGAAAAATTCATTCATACAAAAGATAAAATTTTCCAAGAAAAAATTGTAGCAATCATCCAGTGAAATAAGGGGAGGCATATCTGACAACATAAGCTTAAGTCTATTTACAAATAGGATGTTGTTCTCTTCAGGGTACATTCTAATTTTAATTCTTTTGGTGCAGAACTGTCTATTCAGTTTGTTGGGTAGAGACAACAGCAGAGCATTATGATCAGAAAAAGAGGTATTGATGTTACACAATTGGCCTTTCCCAAAATTTACACTAGTCAGAATATTATCAATGTAAGTTATTCTAACTTAAAAAAAACACAGTCATTTCAAATTCATATTTCTCATAGTTCCTGTGATTTTTTTTTAAGAGGGCCGGGCTTACAAGTGACCATGGGATTGCATCACAGCTGGAACAGCTTATTGTTCCTGTGATAACTTAGTTTATCATATACTACGCGGAACTATCCGCTGTAGGCCTACTATCCTGATAATTAGACCAATTACCAAGGCAAACATGTGGTTCGGATTCTACTATGAACTGTAGGTCCCTTAGTTGCCATTAGCTTTATGGGCTTAAATTAACAGCTGTGTCTATGGGATATGTCGGCCTTAGTCTCTAACAAGACTACAAGATAGCACAAGATAACAATAAGACTATAAGGGTTCTCACTCAACAACAAAGCTTAATTAATTAGCAAAAAATATTACTAACACTAACTAATATAAATACAACCACTATATAAATTAGGGTTCCCAACACACCACGCTGCAACAGAAAACAGGTTAGGCCTACCCAACCGACCATAAAACCACAGCAGGTCTGCCTAAAAATTCTGCTCAACAGCTCAAGTCCGCAGGAAATCTGCACCAGTCCGCAGCAAATCTGCACAAATAAAATTATTTTGTTGGGGCGCTGTTAATACGTCAGCAACTCAGCACCACTGCCAACCTCAGTCCCTGTTCAGGCGCCATCTTGCGACACACTTTTCTTGCACTGGAAAAAAAATTACAAGTGCATTCGCAAAGGTTTGCTGAGGTTAGCTCAGCCTACAATGGCTGGGTAAAGTTCCAGGGTCTGAGCTAAGGGAACCACTAGGCCAAAAGCCGGATCTTACCGGTATAGGACTGGGTCATACACGGGCACTGTGAACAAGTCAAAAACAAGTCACCAAAACAAACGTGCAATAATCACCACCAGGCCTAAGCCGATTCTCCACTCTCCTAGGGTGTCGTTGCTGACTACGCAACTCGGGCTTCGTCCTAACTATCCAATAGTCAAGCCCAGAGTGCCTAAATAATGATGTGAGTTACATGACGACTTGCCAATAAAAACCACCACGCGAGTTATCACCAGGTGGGGTCTACTCGGCCACTATAATCCAATACACAACTCTAATGCCCAAGCTAACAATCAGACAGTTCACTCAGTAACAATACCATATAATAATAAAAGTATACTTTT